AATTTGTAGTTGAATTTTATTGTAAAAATTAATAATACATCAGTACCTTATGTAATCAAAGCTATCCAACTCTAAGATCATAAGTTCGATTCATTAATATACTCCTTTCAAGTTCAACATTATTATAGTTTTTATCTTTTTTTGAATGACAAGATCTAAGATTGGATAATTTGAAGGCTTTCTTAATAGAGTTTTGATCCATGTATAGAGAACATGATATAACTTGTGTTGTAATCAATAAGAACCTTATTTTATAATAAGGCAATCAATCCATAACATTGTATATTTTATAATTTTGATAATTTGCAATTGATATCAATTAAGATGATACTGCACTTATTAGCTAATTTTTCTATAGATTAAAATATGAAATAAAGAAATTAATGCTCAACTTACTTGATCCTCAAACATTGAGTGAAGTGATTGACTTTGTTATAAAGTATAACAATCAACTTTTCAAATTTTGATCTGAGAGTTGAATAAGTAGGCCTCAATATTATTATAATTCAATAGCAATATCAACGCTTCCTCAATATATACATTCAAAAGTAGAGAATATACAAATTAATATGGTATGTTTCAAACCTCTTATTGAGTAAAAAAAGAGTCATCACCATCAAAAAGGATTATGCTTATATTGTGGAAAACCTAAGCACACTACTCAACATTGTCCAAAAAAGTGACATAATTATAGAATGAGGAGTACAAATGTCAAAGAAGACAATATCTCGAAAAACAAGTTTATCCAACTAGAATAGGGACCATACAACTGAAACCTTGTACAACACCTAATGAAGGTTTTATTCTCTTTCAAAACCATCTTCTTATTTTATATTAAATATTATTTTAAGACCTAAATATTACAAAGCCTCTGTCTTACTAGATTCATAAATCTCTAAGTACTTCTTAGATGAAGAATTTGCTAAAAGATTTAGTATATTTTTAGTAAAAAATACTAAATCTATCCACGTAGAAATCATAGATGATTGTCTGTTGTTTTTGAAGATGTTATTTACAAAATATTTCTTATAGAAGTAATAATCAATGATTATAATAACTTTGTGGTATTTTCTATCATTAAATCTTCTTCTAATCCAATCATTTTAGGCTTATTATGATTATAAAAATATAATCCTTGAGTAGATTAGATTTCTTGTATTCTTAATTTTTCTAAAAATATAAATAAGAGTATAATTAATCAAATAAAAAATCACAAGTTTAGTACAATTAAATATGTATTTGTAGGTACAAGAGCTTTCTTGCATATTGCAAAAGAAGGATCATCATCTATCATTTATGCCATACTTGTTTCTAATAGTGCAAAGACTTCAAGTGGCATTTCAAGCAAATATTAAGAATTTTAAGATTTATTTGAGAAAAAGAATATAAATACTCTTCCAAAATATTGTTCCTATGGCTGTTCAATTGACTTTCAAAAAGAAATACAACCGCCATTTGGACCAATCTACAATTTATCACAAAATAAATTGGCTAAATTTAAGGAGTATATTGAAGAAAATCTTATTAAGAACTTTATATTCTATTTCAAATCTCTAACAAGAGCTCCAATTCTATTTATGAAGAAAAAAGATAGATCATTGTAGATATGTATTGATTATTAAGGATTCAATAAGATCACCATTAAAAACAAGTATCTTCTATTTTTAATATTTGGACTTTTTGATCAATTGAATTAAGCTAAGATCTCTACAAAAATAGATCTATAAGGAGCATATAATCTGGTATGCATCAAAGAAAGAGAAAAATAGAATATTGTATTTTAAATAAAGTATGGACATTTTGAATACAATGTCATGCCTTTTGGACTTACAAATGTACCAATAACTTTTCAACATCTTATGATTGATGTTTTTTGAGAATTTTTAGATGACTTTGTTCTTTGTTACCTAAACGATATCTTGATCTATTCTAAGAACACAAAAAAATATGAACTTTGTATTTATTTTATATTACAAAAATTAAGAGATGTGAGACTCTATGACAAGATAGAAAAATATGTATTTTACACTATTTAAATAAATTATTTAGGATACAATATTTCAAATGATAGACTCATGATGGATCCTAAAAAAGTTCAAATTATTATAGATTGGCAAATCTCAAAAATGATAAGAGATGTCCAATGTATTTTGGAATTTATCAATTACTATAAAATCTTTATGAAGAATTTTTCTAAAATTGCAACTCTACTAATACGTTTGACTTGTAAAAACAAACTTCAATGGAATCAAGGAGCAAAAATAATATTTGAAGCTTTAAAGATAATCTTTATTTCTACACCAATCTTATATTGTATTGACTTTTTTAAGCTATTTTTTATGGAAATAGATGCATCAAACTTTATTTTAGATGCTATATTATCATAAATAGGAACAAATGATAAACTTCATCTAATAACTTTTTATTTAAGAAAATTTTAGCAACTAAGATCAACTTTGAGATTCTCGATAAAGAAATTCTTGAAATTGTGGATTCATTTCAAGAATGGTGCTATTATTTAGAAGGTACTTCTAATCTATTCATTGTTCATATTAACTAGAAGAATCTTAAATATTTTTTGTCAACATGTGTTTTGAATTGTTGCCAAGTCCATTGGAGTATGTCTTTGTGAAGCTTTGATTTTAAAATCACTTACTGACAAAAGAAACAATAAGGTTTGTTAGAAGCCCTTTATAAACATTTTTAATTTGGACCAAAAGAAAGAAATGCATCTTTTGATCAACAAAAAATATTTTTCTTCAAGTTAGAGTACTTTCATCTTTGAGCAATAAAATCAATATTGACTATTGATTCAACTCTTATTAAGCAAATTAAATGAAGTATTTCTTCTGATTTTTTTATTCAAAATATCAAGAATCCTTCTTCTAAGTCCCATGATAATTCCAAGTTTAAATTCAAAAAAAATCTATTTTATTTTGAAGGATGCTTATACATTCTTAAAAGAAAAACATATTTACATATTCTTCAAGCACATCATGACTTTCTAGTGGCCAAATATTTTGGATATAATAAGACTTTAGAACTTATATCTAGAGATTTTTTATAGACACAAATGTAGAAGGCAGTGAATGACTTTATTTAATCATGTGTCATTTGTTTAAGGTCAAAAACTCCTTATCATTGACCTTATAAACTTCTTCGATCCTTACCTATTTTTAAATAATTATGGTCTTTTTTTCTATGGATTTTATTATAGATCTTCTATTCTCAGATTCTTATGACCATATATTTGTGATAGTAGATCATTTCATCAAGGTAGTATATTTTATACTATGTACAAAAACCATCTTAAGTAAAGAAACAGCTAAGCTTTTCCTTGACAACATCTATTACTATCATAGATTGCTTAAGGATATTATATTAGATAAGAGAACTCAATTTATATTAAGTTTTTAGAAAATATTTTTTAAGTTTCTAAAAGTAGACATTAAACTATCTTCAACTTTCTATCTTCAAACTGATGGACAAATAGAGCATATAAATTAAGTTTTGAAATTGTATTTGAGGTGTATCATCAACTATCAATAAGATGATTAGACAATTCTTTTGCTATTAGAAGAATTTATTTATAATAACATAATATATTCTTCTATATAACAAACATCTATTTTTACTAAATAAATATATTATATATAAATATATATTATTATTTATTTATTTATTCTTTGATAAGAATGTTATTTAAATTAATATTCTATTATTAATTTTTTAAATTAACATAAAAATTTACTTAGAATTTTTTAAATAGAATTTATAATAGAATATTAAATCTCAATTGGATTTTATTAAAAGCATCAAAATATTACGAAGTAATTATAAAAAATAATTTGAAGATTTGCTTGTTAGATTGTAATAAAGTATATTGATAACTTCATGTTAATTATTATCAAATAAATCTACTATAAAAATACAATTTTAATTAAATAATAACTTTAAAATAAAAAAATATTAAATAGATCCATACTTTTATTGAATAGACCCACTCTTGATGAACAATATGGTAATCAAGGAGAATGTGGTTGATTTTTATTGGTTGTAAATATAATAGTGGAAAAATGAATCTTGAGTTTATTTATTTATATCTTTCATGATGGATAGGTCAATTTAAAGTAAACTTGGATCTATTTAATATTCCCCTAAAAATGATGTATTTCAACATAGACACAAATAATTGATTAGATAGCCAAAGGTCACATGTTTGACATAAAACATAATCATTGATAATAATTGAATATTTTATAAACTATTTTTTTATTAATAATATTTATTAGTGATAAATTTTACAAAGAATTAAAATAAACATAAACATAAACATAAATTATGAAGTTATATTTCTATTGATATTTAGATCACCATATTGTTAGAAGAAACATTTAAAAGGTAGTCTAATATTTTCAACTATGCATAACTTGAACTTGGTCATTCATTCAATAGTAGAATATTATCGAATCTTTAAGACATGCTTGTTAGTGGACCATGTTTCAATCATATGGTGCAAGGGACTTCAATATCATATAGAAGCAACAGGCAATATAAAAGAGTAACAACAATAAACGTAATTTGCTTTAATAATAAACAATAAGGGTAGTTGCTGCCAAAAATATCTCTTTTGATTTGAATGTTTCTGAAAAATCCAATAAATATCTGTGTATATGTATTTATATTACAAAATCTTGAAATGAAAACTACATCACTATAAGATCAATTTGAAAACCATGAAAACTACGTAGAAAGATGTCTCAGATTTTGAAGTCAAACAACTTTAATATCACTGACAATTGAGTCCACTATTTGAACAGTTTTCAGAATTTGTAGTTATTAAGTTATGAAGGGGTTCCTTCCCATAGGTAACGCATGGCACGTCTGTGGATTGTGAATGTTCTCTTATATACAAATATTTTCACTTGGAAATGTTTCTGTATTCGGATTGTGAAAGATATCTACAAGTTTGCAGTCTCAGAATTGTGTGTGTGTGTGTGTTTTTTTTTTTTTTTTTGAAAAAAACAGCGAATCCAGAAGCATGATGTGGTTGGATGCTGCAGTGCAGATTACTGTGCGATAGTTGCACCGTTCCTGCCCCGGAGGCTGTTTTGCAGCGGCAAGTAGCCATGTCTACACAACCTGAGCGTTGCATATGGGAGAGGTGGGGAGACGCTGGGCCGTAGAACTTATCATCGGACGGATACGATCTCCATTACTGCTGTGTGGTGACTGTGGTTCCAGCGCTGGCGATGGCACTGGCATGATCGTAGTTTACTTGGCATGTCGACATTAGAACCTCCCGTTGTCCAAAACTAATGTAGCCTGGTAGCCAGGAATCATTTGTCAGAGTGGTCCTTGTAAGGCGCTCCCAGACGGTATCAATTCGGCGTCTACAGGCTCCTGGAAGGGCGTCTCAGCTTCAGTCCCTTTGTAAATTGGAGCGTCGTGGTGCTCGTGTTCCTGTACGTTCGGATTAAGATAGCTTCACCAAGTTCGGTGTGTTTCAATAGTCGGAAAGGACGATTCCGTATGCATTTAAAGTGGTAACTACTGGTAGCGCACGTTCTGACTGCCATTGAACTTCAAACAGTGGAACTGTTTGTTGGTTCAAGCTGTGATTGCTCACGCCTGCAGGATTCACATTCGACATGTCCAAGTATGACCCACTACGAAGCAGTCATGGGAGGCCACGAAGGTGTTTAGGATTGGGACTGAGGTCCATTCACGAAATGAACCAGTCAAGGTCGTCGAATGATACAGATGTGCATGTCGAGCGCTTAACCCTAGATCATAAAGAGCGAGAAAGAAAGTATCGTAATCAAGCAGTGCTCTTAATCCATTTCGTTTGTTGTAGAGACTGCGAAGGCAGCGGATGGCTCGGAAAGTGATGCCACCAGATTTACTGTAAAGAAGTGATTGCTTTCAGTCCGGCTGATTGTTAACAGTGTCGGCCGGCTCAAGACCCATGCTCGATCACATTTCTGAAGGACTAAATACTACTCATCAACACTCTTTAATCGTATCAGAATCCTACGGTATATCAGACAGGCTGATCTGTTGCCGTTTGGTCTTATGCACCATCGGAGAGTGTGGCTATCAGAAGCTTTCATCAGAATTTCCCGAGGTCTCAAGCTGCCACAACAGCTTCTCGAAGTTACCAGCTTCGCATGCAATTCGCAAACCCCCCTCAGTTTCAAACCCGTATTCCTCTTCACTTCTCCTCAACAATTCGCGGAACACGCGTGTGTACAAGAAACTCGTCTGGATAACGAACCTGCGCCTCTTCGGGCCAACGTAGACAGCTAAACTGCCCGATGGAACGTCTTCCGGCGCGTCTTCGTCCCAGCAGTCACTCTGGGGACCATTCCCACGCTCCAGTGATCGGCCAGATCCACGATTTGACGTACTTGATGAGAAAGATGACGCCCTCCCTGACCAACGCTTCAAGCTTCGGGGCGAACTCCTGTCCAGATTGTCTGAATCCCGAAACGACTCTACTCGCATGTACTTCTGCACTAGTTTTCCAATTTTCTTCCCCGACATCATTGTGTCTAGATCCGGATAGTGAAGTCAGAGACACAAGAACGACAACGGTGAAGAGCAAAGATCGAACGAAGAAGTAAATGACAAAAAATGTCCGCTACCAAAGATTTTTGATGTTCGTGACGAAGACGCTACAAGAGATTGGGTTTGTGCGGTCGTAAACCACTCTTCGGAGGTATTGATGATGCAGTTTTAAACCACGTTGTGTACGAGTTTCTCTTAATTGGGTGAGGAATGCTAAGGTGAAGTATATGTAAAATCTATTCCACAGCTTCAGAGCGGCTTAAGCGTCCCGACACTAGAAGGAAGTGATCGACAATCCTCAAATGAAAGCGAATCAATGCATTCTTTCTATAGAAACTCGACCAATCACCCTATCCACGAGGCAACTAAGGCGAGCTTAAGATGTGAAGCAAGAAAAATTCGATCACACCACGCTGGGGCACAGGCCATAAACACGGGCGGTTGTCGGGAAGCGATGAGGCCTATTTGGACACTGGGCTATGGCGAATCAGAAGATGACGTGACCTACGATATGAAGAACTTTAGGAACTCGATGAAAGTGGGATGGGTCGCAAGCATAGCACTCCACAGGCACGGCACAAACACCATGAAGCTACACAGCTTAGGAAGTGAGAAAGAAGCGCAGTCTAGGTTGCGAAACTAGGTGTTCAATTCATGCAGGTGAGGATACGGACAGTTCATTTATACCCAAAGCTCTAAGAGACTTACAGTTAAGCTGGCCCTGCACGTACTAGAACCCTCAACAGTGCTCTCACTGCTCTGCGTACGCAACTTGGAAAACGGTCTACTGTTTTGTCCCACATGGCAACTTTTCTCGTTTCTCGCACCACTCGAACTTGTTTACCGCTTAATTTGGGAACCCTCTCGTCAGGTCGTGACAAGTCACGATAAGGGGTTGAAACACTAGGCTGATATTCAAGACTGAGTACACTTCAGTTGATTCTGTCTTCTCCAATGATCGCAGATCCGTCACTCCCACCGCTGCACTGTTCAAAACCGAAGTGGCTTGGGTGCGTTGCAGAGACGCAGAACTGGAACCTGCTACACTTACCAGAAAAATTGTAGGTTACAACGTGTTCAGCGCCTGATGAAACATATTATCTTCGCTAGGCAAAAGTGGAATTGTGAATTTCGGTGGTATATTCTTTCCACAGAAAGCTGAATTTAAGGAAATGCTTCTTTTCTTTTCTTTTCGTTTGTAAGAAGTTGTAGTAAGACGCCAGTTGTGCATCAATACAGACAGAGCCCTTATAACCCCTTCATGTAGAAAAAGGTACTGACGGCGAAGTTCAACTGCCGCACACAACCACAAGATTGCTTAGAATTGCAATAAAAACTCCAATTGAGCGCGTTGGAAAGATTCCAAACAGGTCCGGCCATAGTTCAGGGTAATTGAGCATGGAATCTTTGATTCTCTATTTGCTTCCGACAAGCATCAGAATTGCCTTGATTTGTAAGAGGACATGGCTTCCGGGCCATTGGTCAGCGACCTACTTTTGTTATAGTTTATTATTTCCATTTTTTAATTTTAGTTTTAAATCCATATATTACCATAGAATATTAGGTTCTTCGAGGAAGTTGTAATGAGCACACAAGTATGGCATATCTTCTGCAGTATTCAGAGATACTGGGACTGTATAAGCAAGGGCCCTTTCTCACAGTGAGAAGCTGGACTGTCGAGCTGAATTCTTAATGCTTCTAGTGGTTCAAAAAGGTGGGTTCCTGCCACACAGCTCTCAAAACAAAGTGTAATAAAAAAAAAAACACTAGGGCTGATAAGATGATAAGGTATCCCACATATCTTCATTTGGAGGATGACTTATGAGGTCTTGGATTTTGTGACAACTGCCACCCTATGAGTGCCTTTGCACCAGAGGCCAAGGCTTGTGATTGAATGGTTCTTTTCTAGTTGTAAATTCTAGTTATGATATGAAAAACATAGAAAAAATAGCTTAAAAAGAAAGTTATGTAGTGAGCAATAGTGACAATTATTGCCACTGGATGGGGAATATAACAAGAGTTATGAGCTCACAGAAATGATTGGGCTTGTACAAGTGTGATAGTAGATTGTGAGATGTTATGGAAGTTTTTTATGAGTAAGCCAGTGCAACTCATCAATATTAGTATTATTCATACATACATATATGGAATTGCACTTTGATTTTAAAAGAAATACAAAATTATCTCCCAAATGATTGCAAGCACACACATACACACGCACATCGATGGATGGATGCATATGTACGAATAAAAATCATATATATACATATATATTTATACATACATATTTATTTATTTATTTGCAACTATGTAGACCTCCAGAATTTTCCACCACCATAGCAAACTAAGCATCTACGCCACCCTTGTATGCACCCAACGCAATAGGATCTTTTCGACCCACGAGGACCATGATCCCCGTGAGCAACTTCGAGCGGAAACGACATGCGACTGTGTCGGGATATAATGAATGACCAAGACACCAGTGAATTCTGCAGACCAAGAAAGCGAAATACACATAAAAGTGGCTTATCTTGTACACCCAATGAGTAAAAAAAGGCAAGAAAAACTGGACTTCTGGAAAGACGATGCATGAAAGAATCGTGGGGCGGGTCACAAGCACATAGATTTCTTTGCCGAGGCCACCTCGATGATTACATTTTTTGAGTGTGAGATCTTGTTCCCAGACACGTGCGAGGTTTGGTTGCGGTATGGAACACCTAACTTGAAACGACTTTGCGATGACTGGCGGCTGCCTCGATCGCGGCGTGAGCCTGGAAGTACCACCCTGGGGGCCTGCTTGGACCATGTTGTGCAGCAGTTCGGCGCGTGAAAGCAACTAACGATCTCGTTACCCACTGCGACGAGTACCAGTGGGCGACAGTTACCAGTCTGTCCCGCCCGTGGTATCCTGTTCCGTCGCGACTCCGACCCTACTCGTCGTCGTCGATATGTGATGCGCCGGTCCACCCTGATTCACGAAAGATCTTCATCTAGGATAATGTTTCGGCCAGGCTCTCGAGATCGGTGGGCACTCCGGATTCCCACACTGTCAGACGGCCCCCATTATTTTATCAACGCCCCCCTTTGGAGTTTCCTCTTCTCCTATATGGGATAAGGAATATTATCCTGGGACACATCCTCAATTATAGATTACTCCTGTTTCGGCTGGCCACAACTATGATGCATTCAGTGGGAGAGGAAGGCGTGAACGAAACTCCATCGCCCGCCTTGAACGATGCGACACAGGAGCTCTGGACAAGCTTTTTTCCTTCCCACCAGGTGTGGTTTTGGTTTTTGGTTTTTGTGTATTTCGGGGTCCTTGGCAGATGCGCCAGCAGGATAATGCAGTTGATTGCGAGGGAGACAACGAAGACGTCAAGGACCACATATAAATACACACCCTAAGCACTTAGAGTTCGTATCTCCATGGAAGCCAGGAATCAAGCCCCACTGATGGAATTTGCACGATCAGTGGGAAAAGCAGAGAGTGATTCTTGCTGGCAGCATGTGAGGGGGATTGTCCACCCCTGCAAACTCTTGCCCAGACAATGCCTTCCACAACTCTTCATTCCTGTTTAATGTTCAGAGAAATTTTCAGTGTTTAGTATTAAAAGAAAGATAGAATTGACCATTGGTAACAAGGATGGCATTATGCAAATGACTGTCATATCTCAGTTCTTTGGCAGATAAGCAACCACTGAAACAAATTTTGGGTGAGATCCAGTCACAGAAAAAGCAGAGGTAAGAAGGATCTAAACTATTACTTCCAAATTGTGAGAATCATCTGATTTGAATTTCATCAAAGAATGTGAATAATAAAGTCACATTCTGTTCTTTGGTGGTGCATTGGTTAGGTTGTTGAATTACAAGCTATGCCACCATGGAATGCAGTTTAATGTTCTTATTCTGTTCGTGTAAACATTTAGTTGAATGTTTTAGGCCAGGCTGAGCAGGGTTATTTGAAGGTTTGTTTCAATGAAAACGAATTAAGTCTACAAACTCAAGCTTGTAAAAAGTTGAACCTGAGAATTGTTCAGATCACTGGTCCACTTAGATGAACATAGCAACATGAAAATCAGTCAACAAGATTGGAAATTAGGAGATGAATTGCCAACTAAACTTGGTCATCAACACAAGGTTATTGTTTCAATTGGTGATAGAATTCAATACAAAAATTGGTATGACCGTGAAGTGATGTCGAGCAGTTTAAGATATGTCTTGAAGCATTTACAAATTGTAGATGTTTATTTAGGCTTTCCAATAAACCAAGCCAATTAATGGTTGTGATAATTGTATGCAATAATACTTGAGAATACTTTCAGAGTAATCACCAAAAGATGCTTTAGGGTTGTAGATTAGGATAGTTACATTCTAAGTAGGTGTGAGTAGAGCTAGGATTTTATTCATTGTTTTCTGAATGTAACCAATTTAAATACAAAGAATTTCTACAAAGATTGAATTTGGATCAATTTATTGATTTTAAAGTAAAACATGCTTAAAATGAGGTAGTACTACCACAACTTATTGAGATAAGAAGTTTATATATATGTATATATATATAGTATTTTTTTATTGAAAAGTGCAGCTACGATTCCACTTCAACTATTTTGCCTACTGGTCACAATGTAGTAAGATACTTCTTGCTTGTGGTAGACCACCACAATGTGTGAGAATATACTTTTTCTAGAGCTAAAGATTAGCGGAAAATTGGAAATTACAATCATTCATCAAATGTTAGCTTTAAAAATCAGTTCAAAGTTGGGACATGTTGACAATGTTGTCTTTTCTTTTTACAGATTTTCATTATTACATCTAAACAAATATTTGTGATTTCTTACATTGAAAACCTTATGTAAAAATGTAGATATGATACTATGCTAATAATATTTCAATGCACTGAGATGGAGATTCAGTCTCCCTTTGGCAGTGTGGGCAGACCATGTCCATGGCTTGTAGTCCTTATGCCAAGTGTTTGGGCAATCCATGTGGCACAAATGCCTATAAACAGTAGGCAATAGAATGGCTCCTTGAACAGATAAGACAACTATATATATGTATATATATATATATATATATATACACACACATGTATATTAGTTGAAATTTCCTTGACAAAAAAAGAAATGAATAAAAGAAGTGAGAAGACAAAAAGAGAGTTGTGATCATAGTTACATTCTCTGAAATGTCCACAATTCTTTACTCAGCAAATGTGTGATAGTTTCTCATTTTTCTTGGGTGCCACATGTGAGCCATCCCTCATCCACTTCAGCCCTGTACTTTATTGAAAATAATGGCATTAATTCTTTTCCTGTTGGCAATGGTTGATTGCTCAAAAGATGGAGGATCCCTCTCCATACCATGATACTCCAATTCAACCAATGCAATGCCAACACTAGTTACTGTATCCCATTTTTTATGCCACATTTGCAAAACCATTCTCTGTAGTTCTTCAAAACCTGCTTTTCCACTAGATTCAATAAAAAAAATCCAACTAAAGATAATAAAATATTTGTATAGAAAACATATTAGTAATATTAGTAATATGAACCTAATTCAACAGTGGATTCTAATCAAATGATTGGTTGTTCTAAGAATGATGATTTGGGCATGCTAGAATCCTTTGATAGAATGGGACCCCCCTTACTTCATTTTGTATCAACAATAGCACATTGAGA